TGTGGTGATAAAATTATTAGCATTTTTTGCGGTAGTTTTCTGGGAATATTAATGGGACAAAATCCACTTGACGTCGCTTATGTGAGTATAGGTGTAAACATTGTATTAAATTTATAAACATTAACACAATATTAAATTAAATTTTAGGATCGTCTAGGTGCTTTTTTGTCCCATTTTCCCAACTCAATTTCTACCTGGGTCATAACGCACTTATTGCAGTGGGCGGGCACCGGGCGTTTCCAGCGTTTTGATTACGGCCCGCAAGAAAATCACGTACGATATGGACAGTCAGATCCGCCGCAATACCCGCTAAATAATATTAAAATGAATAAAATCTCAATATTTTATTCATTAAACGATGCGATCACTGAATATAGAAATGTTCGCATGATTAAGGAATATATGACAGGTATTGGGCAATAATTAACCATTATTAAATAATGTTATTATTTCGTAGTTGTAATTTTAAAATTTACAATATTAATTATGATACACAATTTTTAAAAATTGTAAATGCAGGCAAATTAATATTTTATAAATAGGAGTTATTATAAATTAGACTTATGAAATGCTAAAATGTAATATTTAATTGAAAATTTTGATTGCAACTAACCAAAATTTGATATTATAATGTTTATTTATTTTTTTATTTTTAGTGCCTTTATATCGTGAGATATTAATCCCGGATAAAAAATGGGGTCATTTCGACTATTTTAGCGCAAAAACAGTGGGCTTTCATATAAATTCACTGATTATTGATTTGTTGCGTTCGTCTGAATAAACTATTTGATCATTTTTGGCAATTATGTTTTTGGATTTTTTATCATGATAAGTTATCAATTAATTTTTAAAAAAATATTTACAATAAAACATGTACGATAGTTAATTTTATATTATAAAGTACTGTATTTAACTTGTATTGTATTTAACTTAAACTTTATATTGTATTTTTGACATCATTGATTTTATACAATTTATTTAAATAAAGTTACATAATTAAAATATAATAACCTAGATAATTCCCAGTACTCCCCCCGGCTTTGAAAGTATCAAAAATTATTTGCAAAACTCAAATAAAATTTCATAATTTTGTGACTTAATGTAAAAATGTTTTGTTTAACACAACTTTTATGTCTATTCATGTTTTCACCTTTTAATAAACAAATAAAACTACAATTAACTGTTATTTTTCGGTTTTATTTTTATTACCAGTTTTATCGTAATTAAAATCCAGACTTGACTGCTAATTTATCATCTTAATTTATACAATAATAAAATATAAATTTTTATTTTATAAAATTCAATGTGCCCTGTAACCATAAAATGTCAAAACTGTAATGCAATATTGAACCAAAAAAACTAAATTGTTTACAAATTTTTTAATTGCTTCACATTTCACATTACATTATAATGACATTTAAGTTATTTATTACATTAATACAATTTATCTGATATAATTATAAAATAATATCTTAATATCTATGATATATTAGGGCCTAATTAGTATTTGATTCAGAAAGTATTATTATCTTTATATTTAAGCATCATAAAATACAATGTAATGTAATGTACTAAGATGTGCAAACTAACTTTATATTATTTGTAATTATTGAATAAATACCTAATGGTATAATTAATTGTATTTTTTTAAAACCTCGTACATTTTCTAACAAAAATATATTAATACAATTTTTATTTAAAATTTTGAAAAATTAGTAAAATGTTTAAAGTTTTACATTCTGTTAGTTTTGACACATATTTATATACAGCGTTGTTATTTCTTATAGAAATCGCCTATGTAATAAAATAAAATAACCGTATTTAATTCAACGTAAATCTAACCATGGTCAATGTTTGCAGGGCATGATCTTTTCAATATACGCGCCTATTATGGTGGACATGAAGTACATACTAAACACATCGCTCGATTGGGTCTCACTGTTTACCACGTTTGAAACGGCCGGCTTTTTTCTCGGCACATTTGGTACATAACAAACACCCATGATCTAAATTAAAACACATTGTATAATATGCCGTCTATATATTATCAAAACAGTTGGTCTACTCTACAAATACGTGAACAGACAGCTGACAATGGCGTTGACATTCATACTGATGACAGTGGCGTCGGCGGTCATACCCTTGTATCCCAACCTATGGGTATTATATTTGGGTGCGTTTATGATCGGGATCGGGTCGAGCTGTTACGTGGCCGCCAGCACCGTATGGATCATCGAGCTCTGGAGGGGTCGACCCATACCTATACTGCAGATATTTGAGTTCTGGTTTGGCATCGGAGAGATATTGACTACAGTGGCCCTCAAACCCTATGTCGTCGGCGAGACTACGGCCACAATCAATCAGACATATGCCGGGCACGTGGAGCCTAAACAGACCATGCTCAACTCGCAATACTACTCGGAAACAGTCGTGGTGAATAGGAGAGCCCGACTAATGATACCAACCCTGGTAATTGGCGCCAGCATTTTAGCAAGTTAGTTTAAATTGTGTTACTTTAGCTTATTTATATAAATTGATCATTAGTAATGATTCATTACTTTAACAAGAATGATTATTGCTAGAAACAACTATTCAAGTACGCTATTATTAAATAATAAAATCATATTGATTATTTCAGTACCCATATCGCTGGTGGTACTGTATTTTGTACGTCCGTACAAAACTCCCACCAACGTGATTAAAGGGGATGAAAGCTCAGTCGACAACAACAATAAACATGATAACAATAACGTGTCCAATGAGTCGCAACATATGGTCAAACTATTTGACCGAAAGGATACGCCCAGGCGTTTGGCGCGACTGTGTTTTGCGCTTTGGTTTTCAATACACTTGTCATTTGAAATGGTTTTTCTCAAATTTTGTGTCGCCTATTTCCAGTACTCACCCCTACACGTGCCCGTAGAGACCGGTACGCAGATACTGTCCACCGGGGTTACCGTGTATACCGTGGGTAATGTAAACACATAGATTTACTTACCTATAACATTTTTAAATGTATATTTATTATTTTTCCCATAGGTCTAGCGTTGAACATATTCTACGTGTATAAATTCAACCTGAACTACGTGCTGGCCCTACACTACCTGTGCGTTATAGTGGGCGCTATATTACTTGTGCCGGCCCAACACTCGCTACCCTGCCTATGGGCGGCCAGCATAATGCTATTGTACGGCTTTTCGGCCATGTTCGCCGGTATTGTCACGTTCACCGAGCGTTATTTGAATATGACCAACCAGTTGAGCACATTATTCATGATGATCCGTAGCGTATTGAACCTGGTCACTCCCATCGTGGTGGGCCGTTATCTACAAAACTACACACAAATATTTATCATATTTGAATTTACCTATTTGTGCATATCGTTGGTCATGTTTGGTGTGATTATATTTCTCATTAAAAAGTATTCCCACTTAAATACAACCGATGCACCAAAATATGATAATTAGTAAAATAAAATTTAAATGTTAAATACGTGTAATTAAATTATGAAATTTAATTTATATTATGTATGCTGAATAAAAAATTATAATATAATAAAATAATTTAAGTTTGAGTTAAAATGTTTAAGTTTTATGTAACTTTTAGCAGCAGGTGCGAATCGGGTAAATAAGGGTATTTTAGATAACTTATAGGCTGACCAGCTCTAGATGTCAAGGTCAGACCACCTTGACCAAAACCCTTGCACCCTGCAAATTAAAACAAACCTTGACCAGATCGCAACCCTATCTGCACGTGTCTTTATAAATAGATACTAGTTATAACCGGATGCCCAAAACGCACTTGATATTGTATTATACGTTATTTTTATTTAATTAAAATAAACCCTTATGCTGCTGTTCAATTTTAATTAAATGGAAAAATACAGAATATTGACATTTATAAAACATATTAAAACGTGAATTGAAAAAACTATACAAAATGTACAACATTCAAGTTTTATGGTTAGAATTTTTAATTATTTGTTTTATAACAATACTGGTAAATTGTGAGAATAATCATCATAGTCACCACGGTCATCATTCTGTTTCAACTAAAACATCAAGCGAGTTGACAAATGTGAACAATCTAAATTTTACAGATTTAGTGGTCCAGGTAAGTACAACAACTTATTAAAAAGTCTAATTAAATATGCATAATTAAAAACTAAATATAAACAAAACTAAACTATGTAAAAACAATATACAATGTTAATTATATTGATATTTAGGGCACAATTAGTGGCGATAGTGCAAGGTGTAAAAAGTTTAAAATCCCTTTGCCAAGTAAACGCCATGTAATTAAGGTAAATGGTATTTATGTGCACACAAAAAAAACATTTCACTAATCGTGCTACTTTTAATACATTTACTAAAATAAATCTAACCTAGTTGGAGGCATTTGGGAACTTTTCCGTCGACACCAATGTTCACGAAATTGCGTTATTTATGTGCGAACCGTCGGACGCGGACACTAATGTCGGGGCAGTAGTCGACTGTAGAAACCCAGCCAAACAGCCGCCGGGCTTTCAACGCTGTTATAAGCCATACATATTCATGAAGATCATGTCCGCAATGGGACCGGTATGGCAACTGCCACCTGACACGGCCCTACCGTTGGGCACACCCGAGACCCGCGTACTACACGTGCTGACCATCTTTCATCACACAGGCCCTCAGCTATATGACCGACCCTTGGAGTGGACGGTCCGGTTGTGGCACTCGGACCCCATTCGGCCCAAAGAGATGCAATTGTTGCCAATTGGTCTCAATCCGAGCGCCGGCGCTGTCATTCCGGCCGGTCGTAAACGATTCGTCAATGTTGGTCACTGTAGCAACCAGTGTTTCAAAGAGGTAATTGTTATTTATATATTTAATTAAACTTTATTTTGAACAAGCTAAAATTAATTTTTTAATACACAAAAGTAAACAAGTAAATATTAAACAAAATTGATTTATTTTAAATTAATAGTCCGCACCAGATGGCTTTAATATCACCATAATACAACCGCATTTTAATCATTTTGGTATCTGATTTTTAAATATTAATTATAATATTGAATTTATTTAAAAATAATACTGCTTATAATGTAATAATTGAAATTTAGGCACAGATTTAGTTGTGAGACATTTCCGAAATGGAAAGGAAATGTCCAGTATTTACGAAATACATAACGTTAAGGACATTCACTTATTGCGGCCAAAAGTATTGGCTCGGGAGGTGTTCATCGGACCCGACGATACGTTGTCTGTCGAGTGCACGTATGACAGCACCAGAGATAATAGGAATTATACTATATTACATATGGTGAGTTAACCACGGTGTAATATAAAATTTTAGCATATTTATAAATAAATGTTGATTATATAAATTAATTAATATTTTACCCTGGTAGAGTAAGCGCATACTGGTTACTTTTGTATATGTATAGAAAATGAATAATTTGAGTTACAAAATTTACCACCTTAACTTATCCCAATAAAAATTTGAGATTAATTACAGTATATAAAGCACTTTCTACAGGCAATTATGAATTAATAACTATTCAATATACTGTACATTTAGGTACAATACGGTAGTTTGTGATAGAGTTAATAACTTAATTTATAATAAAACTCTATAAATTACTAAAAATTAAATTTTTCTTGAATTTAAACTAAACTGACAAATTTATAAAATCAAATCCACCTAGTTCCGGAATGATAACGATGAAATGTGTAACGCATTTATATACAAATACCCGCCAAACAACAAAATCAACATGTGCCTATCCGCGTTTGGCCAAGACTTTCTATCACAAGTCACCGGGTTTGATGAATGTTCCAAGTTAGTTTTGGCGTTAGTAGTAAAAACAGGCGACACTAAGGAAATCACTTCGCGATTTCCTTGTGTCTCCTGTTCGGTTTAAATTCAATTCAATATAATGCTTAAAAATTTTTATTTTAAAATCAATAAATCGCAAATTATAAAATTAAAAATTACTCGGATTCGGTTTCAGAATTAGCCATTTCTTTGATTTCTGGCAACT